AATGCTTCTTCTAATTATGTGGTTATTAAATAAATAATTTTTTAAAAAAGAAACTGTATACTAAGTAACACAGACTCAGAAAACAAAGAAGTAACACAGACTCAGAAAAACAAATGATGTATGTTCTCCCTCATATGTGGCTCCTAGCACCAAATCCTTTTAAATTCTAAGTCCTTTTACCAAGAAGATGCTATACAGCAGTCCCTTCTGCATGAAATAACTTCCATCATCACGACTTCGGCTGAGCCTGATCTCCAAACATAGTCACAATTGGGCTTGCTGACAGTTGTGCTCATTCATTAAAGGAGTGCGAAGCAGGGTCACTGGACCCTCACCTGAGTATCCAGCCACTCTTCCCAGCCAACTAGTCCAGCCTTGGAAGACAAAAGAAAAATGAGAAAGAACCCAATAGGGGGATGCTTTTGGAAGCCCTTCTCAAGAAACGCCAATGGACTTTCATATGAACATTTGAAAATTGCCCTGTTCTGACTTTTTTCTAGTTCCATGTCTAGAACTTGTAATGCTAATTACTGTTGCCTTTACTTCTCCTTTACATCTCCCAGTCATGATTCAAGGACTTTCTTCTCCCCTTATAGACAAAAGTTATGCAATTTGGGATTCTTTTAGATAGACCCACTGAAGGGGTATTCCAATTGCCTCACCTTGCATCCCTGTTCAGCATGGAAGAAGCCAAAGCAGTGGGCATCTCTATCCCTTATTGGCAATTTGGGTAACCCCTTCAGAGGATGGTATGATAAGAATAGGAGGTAGGAATTGGCTAAGCAGTTATGGTAAAAAGGCCCCAAAGAAATGTAGCCAGTTTCTTGGCTAAAAGTCAAAGTGTCCGTGGGCCTGTTAGTGACATACTCTGTTCCAAGGCCAAAAATGTCAAAAGTATTTGGGAGCTTGTATATAACCCTTAAAAGATTTTATGGTTGCCTCTTCAGAGGGGGGAATGTTGGAGGGAAGGGAATGGGCATGGATTTTATCAAAACACCTTATATACATGTGTGAAATTCTCAATAAAGTTTTTGTAAAAGTTTTAAAAATTTAAAACATTTTATTTTAAAAAAATGTGTTTCTTGGGGGCTGGAGAGATGGCTCAGTGGTTAAGAACACTGAATGTTCTTGCAGAAGACCCAGGTTCAAATACCAGCACCCACATGGCAGCTAACAACTGTCTATAACTCCAGTTCTAGGGGATCTGACGCCCTCTTCTGACCTCTGTGGGCATTGCACAACATGGGTGCACTTCCATACATGCAGACAATACACACATACACATAAAATAAAAATAATAAATAATAAAAATATATATTACTTGAAGGTATTATTCGTAACTCTCAGTTGTAAATGGGGGATGGGGGTAGGTCTCTGTACATAAAGCAGGTGTTGGAAATTTTAAACTACTTAAAATCAGTGAGAGATAAGGACATGGGGAGGGTAATATTTGATAAGTGTTTAATTTTGAGCACAAAATAAAAATATTTTACCATAGAATAATATTGTCTATTCTGGCATTAAAGGAAGGCAAAATGTGGAGACCAGGCTGTATATGAATGTCAGAAACTTTAGGGAAATTAGACATAAGAAGGACTGCAGAGTGTTCATTTGATGTGACCACTAAAGGATGGGCAGCCAGAGTAAGAGAATGGAGAGCTCACCATGAAAAGAGTGGGGACCTCCAGGACAGGGTGAGTCACCAGAAACTGTCAGCATTGGAAGAGCACAGGAAATCACAAAGAGGGTGAAGACAGCTGAAAGTGGAAAACAAAAAGACAGTTCAGGGGAAAGGAACGGAGAGCACCCATCAATAGCTGCAGCTTCCCGACAGGGAGGGGAGCAAATATGAGTTCTGTCCAAAAGGTAAGTCAGGCAACCCCGATGTGAGAGAGTGACAGTTCCACCCTCAGGACAGCCCTGTAAGCCTGGAATCTGGTTGGAGGTTTTGGTGAGAGAGTGACTCTTCCTGAGGGACAAATCAGCAGTGGAAAGAAGGTTGAGTGTTTCACCCTACCAAGTTATAGCTGGATATACCTTAAAAGAGAACTTGCTGTCTAAGACTGAGCTACCTAAGAGACATGGTCAGGAAGCCTGGGTGGAAGATAGCCATGCAAGAAAGTTGTATAAAGAAGGAAGAATGGACACGCGCATGCTAAGAAGACAGATGGTTGGAGGCTTGAGTCAGGTAGCAAAGGTTCTGAGAACTGACCTTATCATCTCAGGATAACTGTAGAGTCTGGTAGCCTCAAGCTTGGGGTCAGTGATTAGCCTACACTCGGGAGTCACTTATCTGCTGCAAGGTTCATTGCTGGTAGGACTAGACCCCTGAAATTCCAGCAGGGAACCTGGCTTCCACAGTCTCATGTATTCAGCAGAGCTTTTAAAGCTGAGCAAGGTTTGAAAGCACAGAGACTAACATTCATGTAAAGATTCCAGGATTCCTTTGTTTCTCTTACCTCTAATGCACTTGGGGAGCATGAGAGAACTTACACAGCACATAAACTACAAAACTGGATGTATTAGAGGCTCCTGGCACCCAAAAGCAGGGAAGTTCCAAAAGGCAAGAAACTCTGGGGGATTGAACACTTGACTCATGCAAGTTCAGTCCCATCCTAAATGGCAGGAAAGATGAGAGCCTCCCAAATCAATTCGACCTCCTTTTTCTACCTGAAGAGATTCATTTTTGAAGTTGCTCCAATACTTCATCTTTATTTGTCTACCTCTTATGTTTCTCTTTTTTTCTTCTTACAACACTTTTAATAGTATCTATTACATCTAATAAACACTATGTACAAAGTAACAGGATACAAAATCACCATACCACAATACGTAAATTTTCTATATACCTATAATGAGTTTTCTCAAAAATAAATCAGAAAAAAATCTCATTAACAATAGCTCCAAAAATAAAATATCTAAGAATAAGCCAAGACAGAAGGCAAGAGACTTCAGTAATGGAAAGTTTAAAACACTGAAGAAATAGAAGAAGGCACCATATGCTCGTGAGTTTGTAGAATTAACATTTCCAAAAGTGACTATATTATTAAAAGCAAACTGCAGCTAATGGGATTCCCATAAAAAGCTGAATGACTTTCTTCATTGATGCAGGAAAAGATAGTCCTAAAATTCATATGGGAGCACAAAAGAACTTGAATAACTAAAGCACTGCTGTGCAGAAAAACTAATACTGGCGATATCACAATGTCTGATCTCAAACTCTACTACGGACTCCTTGGTGAGCATGGGAAGGAGGTGGGACTATAGCTTGAAAGGCAACTCTTAATACACTGCTGGTGAGATAGAAATGGGTGCAAACACCATGAAAATCAATATGCCAGTTCCTCAAAAAATAGAAATTGAATTAACATATGACACAACTACATCATTTTGTGAATATATTGAAGGAACTTGTGTCAGCATACAACAGAAACAGAAAGCTGTGCCTCGCTGTTCCTACAAGCCAAGATAATAGAATCAGCCTTGATGCACATCAGCATCAATGGATAAAGAAAGAATGGAACGATGTTCCTTATGGGAGAAAGGTGGAACTTTACAGCAGCATGTTGAGTGAAGTAAGCCAGATTCAGAAATATAAAAATGGCATGTTTTTACACATATGTAGATGTATTTTCAGTGTATATGTTGAAAGGAGAAGGCTTGTACTGTTGGGGAAGAAAGCTGTCTGAATTTAGGAATAAGAAAAGAGGGCAATGGAGGAAGAGGAAGTCAGATGGTTTTCATATGCAGAAGCTAAGCATGAATATGGGTATACGATAATGGCAAGACATGAAAGCTGGAAGGTTGATATTTGGGGGAGGGAGGGAACCACTGGGAAAGGAAGGGTGAATGAGTGCACTGGGGATTGAATATGCATAACCTACAATGATGTATATGCACAAAAATGCAGAAGTTTGTACAGAATTGTAAAAACCTCATCATTTTGTCTTCCAAGTAAAGAAAAATTAGTAAGAAGTCAGATGCAGAAAGAGGTAGAGGTGCAGGTGTAGGGAGGTGCCACACTTTCTGTGGACTATACTGTTCGGGGAAAAGGAGTGGTCCATGCTCATTTGTTGGAGATGAGAGGGCTCTGGGCAACATTCTACTAAGAGAAGGAGACAGCAGGGTGTTGGGTTGAATGAGAGTGAGAATGATGAGCTGGTATAGGACCTGTTTCTCCAAAGATGCAAGACAAGATGGACTCCCTGGCACCACAGAGTGGTACATCATAGACACAGGAACAGGAGTTTTACCTAAACTATTTTGCCAAGATTAGAACCAGAGTCCAAGATTTCTGTACCTAACCTGGCTTAATGTCAGTGAGGATGCTTTGAGGGCAGGTCCAGATTTGACCAAGAATGAGGAGTAGGGTTTCTGCACTCTTTGACCTGAAAGGTGATAAACATATGGCTCTTTCTTATAAAGGCTTCAATTATGAAACAAAGCAGTTTGAACACCTGACTTAAATGGTGTCTCCTCTCCTTAGTTTCCTTTCCTTTGTCCATAAAGCACCTGAAAGAATGGTTATCCCTATATAAAGCCACCAGAGGGATTTTCCTTTATAAAGCAAGGCTGAGCATGCCAAGCCATGCTGGATACTTCACTGACTCTCACCACCCATGAGAGGGCAGATTCCAAAGCACCATAAATGAAGCCATAGAGAATTTGGCTCTCTCATGTCTACTTCTTGTTATCTTATTCAGAGTGACTGTCCCTGGCCACCTGGACGGAAAGCCCTTTCTACTTTCCCCATACTATGGTACCAGGCAAAAACCACCTCTCAGATTACTCATTTTATATCCCTTTGGTTTCAACAAACATCCTTGTCCAAAAACATCTCCTTCTTAAAATTTCAACCTCAACATGAGCTTCATGCTTGCCTTCCCCAGTCAATCTCACATTCTCTTTCTAGGAACAATGTCTAACTAATAACAGAAGCTCAGTAACCACTTAGAATTTATCTCTACATTAGGTGGAACTATGATAACCCTAACCTTGTCCTCCCATGAGAGTGGGAGCTTATTTAAAGCAGGGACCCTAGGACAATGCCTAATGAAAAACAGAGTAGAATCTGTCAGCGCTGGAGAGACTGCTCAGTGGTTAAGAACACCAGTTGCTCTTGAAGAAGACCTGGGTTTGATTCCCAGCACCCACATGGCAGCTAACAACTGTCCGTAACTCTAATCCCAGGGGATCTGACAGCCTCTTCTGTCCTCCGCAGGCATTGCGTGATACGGGTGCACTTACTTACATGCAGGTAATACATGCATACACATAAAATAAAAATAATAAATATTTTAATAAAGAATAGATTCTGTCAACTGAATAAGTGAAAAACACTTCAAGAAGAATCAAAACAAATACATCTGCTATGACAATTCATTTCTTATGTGACTCCAGGAAAGTATTTAGTTATCTTATCTGCAAAATAAATTATTTGAACAGGTAAAGAAGACGAGAATTTCTTGGGGTTAATAAAAATTATTATTCTTTAATTCTCCTGAATGTTGACCCAAATGACTAATGATTAATATGAGCATTCCTGCTCTACCACCCTGTAGTTCCATAGTTGAATGCCCACATCTATAAAAAATCAGTTAGTTGCTGGAGAGATAGCTCAGCAGTTAAGAACACTGACTGTTCTTGCAGAAGACCTGGGTTTGAATCCTAGCACCCACATGTCAGCTAACAACTGTCCATAACTCCAGTTCCAGGGGATCCAACAGGATCTGACGGTCTCTTCTGTCCCCTGTGGGCCTTGTATGACATGGATGCACTTACCTACAGGCAATACATGCATACACATAAAATAAAAATAATAAATAGAATATTTTAATGGGCTAGAGAGATGTTTCAGCAGTTAAGAACACTGGTTGTTCTTGCAGAAGACCCGGGCTCGAATCCCAGCACCCACATGGCAGCTAAAAACTTTCCGTAATTCCAGTTCCAGGGGATCCAACAGCCTCTTTCTGTCCTCCATGGGCATTGCACGACATGGGTGCATTTACCTACATGCAGGCAACACACGCATACACATAAAATAAAAATAATAAATAAAATTTTAAAAAAAAAGAAAATTGGTTACCATGACACCCAACCCTCAGAAATTTCTATCCCAACCATGAGATGCCAGATACTCTTGTGGTCCTTGTACCTGTTGGCCTCCCAGCTCTGGCCACCTGAGGCTCTTTTCAATCCCCTGTTTTGCTTCTGGAATAGTGCTTCTCAAATTATTTTGGTAATACCAATCATTAGACATATCTGTTATAAATGCATATTTATGGATTTTCCAAGATGTATTAGATCAAATTATCAAAGAGAACAATGGAGCCTCTATTTTAAACAAGCACGAAGACAATCTCCATGTTTCATGGGACATTTTTGGGAAGCCCTGCTCAGAGACATGAACATAGCTTGGGGAAGTGGCCAACAGTGAATTACAGCAGGTATTGCCATTACTGATGGCCGTAGAATAGCCCAGGATGAGCCAATTCTGGAAAGCTCGTTTGTCTGGGATAACACACAACATGCCTTGTTTTCCAATATCTCCTTTTAAAGACCACCTAAAGTCTAAGTTCTGCCTTTCATTCCACCTTCACCAAAATACTGCAGGGAGTCAGAAGAAATCACTCAAGTGCAGAGTAGATTATTTGTTGAGCATTGACCAACTTAAAGCAAATGGGGCTGTAGACTGTTCTAAAATGATAGATAAGTGACTCTGCATATATCACTCATTTACTTTTTTGTCATGTTGGAAGAGATATATGTTGTCTTTTATTTTACCAACAGAAAACTAAGGGTTGTATTCCTGATAGTGGAAATCCCCATTATTAAACGACAATCACGTACCTGTCCAGAAGCAGAAGAGGGATTCATATCCAGATGTAGCTTCCGGCTTTGCCATCACTATATGCCATCCTTCACAAAAGAAGATGAAAGGCCAATAGGAGGACTTCAAAATCGCTTTCCTAAAGTGTTTTCAAGAAGAACTTTACAAGAATCCTGCCTTTTGTCAGAGAATGAAGATTTACTCTAAAGTTATTCAAGGCTTCACTTTCAACCATATTTTTGAGTAATGATGCACTAAACTTTTCACAGACCAAAGATTTTGTTGAGAGGAAAGTATAGGCAAAAGCAAGTAAGATGCTTACTCTTGAGGGCAGTTACAGTGTGCAAAGAATGATGATTCCACATGGTCCCTGGTAGCTTGTGCAGTACCTGCCTTCAAGTCAAGATGATCATTCAAATTTGACTATGATTTTGAATCTCTCTACTTTTAACTTTTTACATAAACAGTAGAAGCACTGTAGAAATGCTTAGTTTATATTAAAATGTTTTGAAAGTAAAGATTCCATAGACATGGAGATACAAGTCTTGCTATTTAAATAGCACATCTGTTATTTTATGAGTTTATAAAAAGTAATTGTTTTGTTAACTAATTTTTTAATTAGTTAAAAATTATTTTGGGATTAAGAAACCTTATGAAAGTATGTTATATTGTCTTACCTTTATTTCCTGTTCTTACAACATGAAAAATAAGGAAAGAAATTTCAAGTCCTTATGTCAGTGACTGCTGGCTTTAGCATTCGGAGAAAAGTTTAAAAAAACCTCCATTTTAAAGAGTTCTACTGTTTTTCTTAGCAAATGAGCTACTTGGAGAAGATGCAAGAATTATTCATCTCACAGAAACTGGAGATAATGACTTACATGTGAACAAAAAGGAAACTCTTGGTACTTACTAAATAACCCTTGGCACTGGGAACTGCATGGTTGTAACACAGGAAAATCAGGTTGAATAGCTCTATCCACAGAAGAAAAAGACTTAAGATAAAGCATCTAAAGCTCTTCTCTGACCAACCTCCCTAACAAGAAAAGGGTTGTGGTTAGGTTTATTTGAAATAGTGAGTAAGTGTGTTTCCTTTACAGGAATTTCCTGTACAGAACATTAGCACTCATCTCAGTTTCTCAACGGGGCAGTTCTTTGATTCCCCTTCTTCTTCCTCTTATAAAATTAGTACCCATCATTTTAACCTTTAAGATTAAAGGCTTTCTTCTAATTAGTTTTTAAAGTCTCAATGTCTCTAATAGGCTTTATATGCAATAATAATTCACTGAAAAAGAGAGGGAAATAACTTTAAAGCCAAAAATCACTGAGGCTTCTTATGTGCCTGTGTATTAAAAGTAAGCCTCAGGATGATAATGAAGAAATCCCTTGCAGTTAAAACCATGTAGAACACTCTGAGACTACACTAGTCACAAGGCATGTCATCTAGAAAGCATCTTAATTAAACCATGATGTTCTTTTTCCTGAGTCTACTATTATTGTAAATATAAGGCTGACAGAGCTCATTACATCAAAGCACTTGAGTTATTTCAGTACAAAACTAGAGATGAGAATAAAATACAAACAGAGAGGCAAGGGAGATGGCCCAGCACTTAAGAGAATTTGCTGTTTTTGCAGAGAACCTGGGTTCAGTTCCCAACACCCACATGGTGGCTCACAACTGCCTATAATTCTAATAGGCTTCCACAGCCACCACGTGGTACATATACATACCTGCAGGAAAACATTCATACACATAAAATAAAAGTAAACAAATATTTTTAAAAGTACAAATAGAAACCAAGTTCACTTCAGGACATGTTTACCTGAGGTAAAGGTGGAAGACTAGCAGAATAATTAGCAACTATAGACAGGACTACACCAAATAAAAAAAATTTGCATGCTAGACAAGAATATATATGAATTCCAAGAGGATGTGAAATTTTCTTACAGCCTAGTTGCAAGGTGTTAACAGAGGCAGTGGAAAAGACATGCAGGCACGTCACATAAGCTTCCAGCTCACACAGAGCAACAGCACCAGAAGTAAGAAAGGCAGTAACTAGGAGGCTTGGAAGAACAGCTAGGATGTAGGGAAAAGGCTAAAAATAAGGTGTTGTCCATGCCAGATGTTTGATAAGTGCTGAACTGAACTAGATTCCAAGTACTTGGGGATTTGGGACATGGTCCTTTCAAGTCTCAAGAGAATCAGGCCTTAAATTTGAGTATAAGTTATTTACATAGATGTTCTCCTAACGTGAATTCATCAACAACCCTTTCTCTGGCACTAAACAACCATTTATAAATTGCATTTGGAAGAACAAAACTGAAAATAAGAGATTTGGGGAGCTGTGATGGGTTTAAATGGTTTTAAATCGGTACCATTGAAACTGTGTGATGCAATTCTAAGAACAGAAAATTGACTCAGGGAAAAGAATAGATAGTGATGAAACAAATCTAAGTAAACTTAGAAAAAAATGGAAAGGGGCATCCCAAATCAGAGAGAAGGACATCCTCTTTTAAAAGCAGCATGGTAGTAGTGACTAAACAGCCATGTGGAAAAGGATACAAGAAATTCTTCCCTCACACCACAGAGAGATGGAATTTAAAATAAAAAATGAGTCCATATACCTGTGAGATGAGTGCTCTAATTCACCTATAATCCGGGAATAAATCAGTATCAAAAACAGAAGAGAAGGGCAAATGACAAACTAGGGAAAATATTTGCAAGCTGCATTGAAAAATATTATCTCTAATATGGAAAGACCTTGTACCAATGATAATGAAAGACATCAAACATTACCACAAAATATGAGCAAAAGGCAAGGGATGGTGTGGTGGTTTAAATGAGAAGTGTCTCCCATAGGCTGCAAGTATTTAAATTGCTGCTCTTTGGGGCCAGTCATGGAAACTTTAGGAGGTGTGGCCGAGCTGGAGGAAGCACATCACTGGGTGGGCTTTGAGAGTTCATAGCCTTGCCCCACTTCCAGTCAGTCTTTCTGCTTCCTGTGCCTGTTTGAACATGTGAGCTTTCTCCTCTGGCACCATGCCTTAGTGCCAAGATAGGCTCTTATCTCTCTGGAACCATAAACCAAATAAACTCTTCCTTCCATAAGTTACCTTGGTCATGGAGTTTCACAGAACAGAAAAGTAACTAATACAGGCAGGATTCCTGTACAATTCTGTTGGCAATGTGAGATGGAGTAGTCCTTGTGTTGAGGACTTTGACAATATTAGCAAAATTACATATGTATGTGTTCTGAGATCCAGCAATCTTACATCCCCAGTGGGATCTCAAAACAGTCTAGGAAAAATGGAAAAACATATAAACATAGTACTATTTTTATAATATAATCTCTAATACCAAAACACTGGAAACTGTTAGGATTGGTTGAATGAGCTATAACATAATAATGTACTATGTATTTGTATTTCTATACAAATGAGAAATTGTATGAGAAATTGTTTCATATATAATTATGGAATGGTCACCAAAACATTTTCAAGAAAATCAATTTGGAAAAACTGACTATAATGGGCTGGAGAGATGGCTCAGTGGTTTAAGAACACTGGTTGTTCGTACAGAAGACCCAGGTTCGAATCCCAGCACCCACATGGTGGCTAACAACTATCTGTAACTCCAATTCCAGTGAATTCGATGCCCTCTTCTGACCTCTGTGGGCACTGCATGACATGGATACACTTATACAAATGGAAGTAATACACTCATATACATAAAATAAAAATAACTAAATTCATTTTTTAAAATCTATTAGTAACTACTGTTTATCTGTGAGAAATGAGAGATGTAAATCTTCGTGTGTACTTACTTATATTAAAATATTTAAATATAAGTAACATTATTTAAAATTTTTGCCTATAAGAGAAGGTGTAAACGAGCAATGAGGAAGGAATGAAAAGTGATGCTCTGAATTAACTTTATTTTGTAGATTTGTTCTTAAAAGAATGTGTGAAATTTTAAGAAATAACCTGTGGTGGTTTGAATGAGAATGTCACCCATAAGCTCCAAGTATTTGGACATTTTGTCCCCAGTTGGTGGCGCTGTTTTGGGAGGCCTTACAAGGTGTGGCTATCTTGGAGGAAGCACATCACTCAGGTAGGCTTAGAGAGTTCTTAAGCCTTGCCATATCTCCAATTGCTCTCTTGTTCCTGTGCCTGCTTGAAGATGTAGAGCTTAGCTTCTGCCCCACCTCCAGCCACCTCTGCCACCATGCTTCCCTGCCATGATGGACTCTTGCCCCTTTGGAACTGTAAGCTCAAATAAACTCTTCCATCTATATGTTTCTTCGGTCAGTGTTCCTCTCACAGCAACTGAAAAGTGACTAATATATAAACTCATAAAAATAAAAAATAGCAAAAACACCTAACTGTATCTAGTTAATAAAACAGCATCAAAGAATAATTTCAAATTACTTTAGAATACAACACTTGAACAATTTGTATTTTAGTGAAATATTCTCAAGGGGAAAGACTGTGTCAAATAAAATCTTGAATTGCTTTTGGTAAATAAGCTATTGTTGAATGGGTTGATTATTATAATTTTGAGGCTATTATGCATATTACAGGATAAAGAAAATTATGATTATATCAATATCATGCTTTTGGTAAATAAGCTATTGTTGAATGGGTTGATTATTATAATTTTGAGGCTATTATGCATATTACAGGATAAAGAAAATTATGATTATATCAATATCATGCTTTTGGTAAATAAGCTATTGTTGAATGGGTTGATTATTATAATTTTGAGGCTTTTATGCATATTACAGGATAAAGAAAATTATGATTATATTAATATCACTGGGAACTTGAACTTTCTACACACAAATGACATCAATATTAAAGTTCATGACTAAGTAAAGCTTGTAGTATTGGATTAAATTGACATTTTCATTATGGAGTCAAGATTCAGCATGTGTCCTTACTCCATTTACTTAAGAAAAAAATCCTCATAATATTGATGAACCCATTAAGAGTCAGTAGAAGCCAAGCCTGGATGCTGGACACTGGATGCAATTTCCTGCTGAAAACAGATGAGCTTCACAGAGAGCTGCCTGAGAAAAAAGGAGCAATGTAAGTCTGTGGCTTCTTCTCATGTCAATAAACCACAACAACAAAAAGAGGAAATGATTTAAAAAAAAAAAAAAACCTCAGCAATGATATGGAAAGGACTTAAAAGTCAACTTGAAAATTGTCAAATGGTCAAAGATGGACAATTTGAATGTTAGAAATTATTGTTAATTTGTTAAATATTGCAGGTCATGTTGTGATTTTTGTGGATAAACACCTACCTCTTATGATACCTGTTTAGTATGCACAGCAATGCCATAATACAAAAGCTCAGGCTATAGGTAGAGGTGGACTAGGTATGGGATGCTGTTTGCAATTTTGAATGTGGATTGTAAATATTTGGGTATTTGTGCTATGCATATTTTAATTCTTTCATAATCAACATTTTTAAAAGTAAAAAAATAAAGAATTTAAGTGCCTTTTTGTTTCTTCATTTAACTGGTGTGGTCATATTTTTTTCTAATTTCATGATTTGAACATAATGCATGAACACTGAATATAGAAAAAAACAATTTAGAAACTATTTTAGAAAGTGTGTGATCTAGGCACTTATTTTGAAAGAGAATGCTCTCATCTGGAAATATATTTTGAGTACATTTGTTAAAAAGGCAACCTAGTTATAGCTCATATTTCCATAACACCTTTATTCATCTTTAAGCTTCTTTCCACATATAGGAAAAATCATCACTAAATATAAATACATAATCTAACAGAATTTTTGGGAGGCTTCAGCGTTAATACTTACACCAGGCATTTTTTTTCATGTCTATGTGTATGTAGTATGCATACGTGTGTATGTTTCCACGTATGGGTGTGTACACATATGTCTGTACATATGTATGTGACTGCACGTGCAGCCTAAGGTTGATATCAAGTGTCTTCCTCAATC